AACAGGAGGGGAAAACCCTGGAGAGGCTCCCGGGCCTGAGGCAGCTGCTGCTGGGGATTCCCAGTGACAGCGCATTTACAGCTTTAGAAAACGGATAAACAGTGATCTGATTTAGAAATCAGATGAACCTACAGGCCCACAGTCGCCTGGCGTCGTGACTTGGCTACACCGTCGGCTGACTGGTTTCAGCTGGTTGTAACAGAGACTCTGTCCAGGATTAAAATCCTGCAGATTATTAGAACCCAGGCTTTTATCTGAGCGTCCAGTGATCGCTGATCACCTTCTTGCTGTCTCCGCTCTCTACGAGCTTCAGATGCATGGCGGTGGAGGAGGAGAGAGCGACAGAGACGAAGCAAGGACAAAAATCCAATCTTGTTGTGTTTGGGAGTTGGGTCGGGCTGCAGGAAGACATTTTCTGAGCTAAATTAAAATCCATCTGGGAAGGCAGCTTTGATTAATGAGTTAATATTTGGAAAAGAAATTGCAGTGCGAGGAGTCGTCCTTGTCATGTTGATAAGAGCAGTGGAGCTGCTGGAGCCTTCACTAGCAGATCGATAAGCAGAACATCAGCTGCATCTCTCCGTCCCCTCCCTGACGTCTCTGCTCGCCTCTGTTTGCGCTGGGTCTGACCTAATGAGCTCCATCAGCTTTTGTTCCAGCACGCCGCTGTGACGCGTCCCGCTGAAAGGACCCGTCATGTTGAAGGTTTTCTCTGACTCTTCTCATACGTCTTCATTAGACAGCTGTCAGATGAAGGATGTGGGACCTGAAACACCCTGAGGATCCGGCTGATCTTCATTTCTATGGTATTCAAATGAACTTTCTCTTATGGGTGATTTTAAAAGCTCTAAAATCATCAGTTCATGTTAGAACAGATCAGAAAAAGAAACGGGATCATCATCTGTGTGGAGTGGATGTCGATAGAAGGCACCTGCCTGACCAAGCCAGCGGGGCGGGGCTAAGATCTGCTGTTCTGAAGGTGTGCGAGTCCAAGTTAAGCGTTGTTCTGATTCCAAAGAAAGCAGCCGGCTGACTGCCTGAATGTGAGCTGCTAAGTTTAGGAGAATTCTTCAAGCTGCATCGTCATCTGGATGTTCAGGGTGTTCATGGAGCGGAGGAACAATGAGTGTCTGAACTTTGACTAGACCATTCCGGCACCAGCTGCTCCTGGTTCAGGTTCTGTGTCCCTCTGAAGGATGACAGCTTCTCTTCATCTCCCAGCTGTCCGGAGACTGCAGTAGGAAAGCATGCCACAGCCTGATGCTGTTTTCAGGCGACGCAGAACATTCTACAGATAACCAGGGACATCAGATTACACCTACCTGCCACACCGTTCAGATTTTACCTGTAAATCCTTCAGAGAAGCATTTTTGCTTTAACCGTCCACCATGTTAGTAACTGGAGACACACAGGAAAGGTCTGGACCATGAGCGGCATCAGCAAACCGTCCCTTTAAAACACTCATTTATAGAAACTCCCTCCTGCAGGAGTCCTTCTCTACCTCTGCTCTGCTCTTTATCCGTCTGGTCTTTACCTGGCAGAGGACATCCTTTCATGCGGGTCTGCTGGACCGACACCTAAATGATCCAATTAAACGCTGAGGGCAGGAGTGTCTGCAAGCTGCTGAGTGCCTCAAAGAGAAGCTTAATCACCTGAACAGGAAAACGGCTCTGTGTGCTAATAGATTGGATTTCAGCTGGAGGTGAGCTGCTAATGTCAGCACGGAGCCGCCTGCTGCCGATGAGAGGAAAAAGGACCTGAACAGCCAGAGCCCAGACCTGGAAGGATGTTTGGGCGTATTGTTCATATTTCCACTGTTAAATCCAAACCATCAGCTTTCAATGCTCCTGCCTGTGGTTTAAACCCTGACGTTGCAGGACTGAGCCGTTAGTAGCAGCTTTTTTGCCCATACTGTCCATGAAAGGGTTAATCTGTCTGTTTTTATTTATTTCTTTGTTTAGCCGTTTCCTCTCCAGCATAATGATGTTTTTTTGTGCCAAGTAGAGGCCCAGCAGGTTTCCCTTCACCAGTTGAGCATCGCAGCTTTCACCGGCAGCTCCTGGAAGTGGAGGAAGTCTGGGGGAGTAGTTAGGTTAGGGTATCCCAGAGGTTCTGAGTTCGAGA